TGGGTGGTCGGAAAAGTAATGACATTTCTGCATAGTAAAAACAGAAAAATACATCATGACTTTTCCCACAACTCAATAGTTTTTTGTGAATTTTTTTTGTTTGTTTGTTTTGTGAGCGAGAGATTTTTGCTATAGGGTACATGCTCTTGCCAGAGAGACAGACAGAGACAGAAAGCAAGAAATCACCCCCGAGGGGTGATGGGCACTCCCTTTTCTCAGGATTTTGGGCATACATGCACGCACACCCAGTGTAAGTTTTAAGCTTCCAGGTCCGGGACTCGAACTGCGTTTGACTATGTGGGAGTCTGGTGATATAACATTATGCCATCTACTGGTCAATACTTTTATTAGAAAGGCTTTTTCAACACTTAAGAACCCCTGTGCCTATTGTAAAGGTTGGTCAGAAGGCAAAGGTTTATAAGACTTTTGAAGTGGATTTTTGTCCATGCACACCATGATGCCCTATGACACTCTCCATTATGTCTTTCTGATAAAGGAGATTTAAAAGTCATTCCTAGTTGCTCCTATCAGTCTCTCAACCAGACTCTACCTAGAGGTAATGATAGTCTAATCAGCCAAGGGACTATAATACATCTTTTGAGACACTGTGGTGTTTATGGCTGGGAAGTGACACACCATCTACTTACCAGCTTTGAGACCTTGGACAGGATACTTTTTTCTGACCATTGGTATCCTTACTTATAAAGAGGAATAACACATATTCACATAGTTATGAGAATCAGAGATGATGTATAAAAGGTGTCTGACATACAATAAATGGTAGTTTATGAGAGAGAACAATAGTAACAGGAAGGCAGTGCTAGAGGAAAACTGAGTGCCACTTTGCTAGATTTTGATGACCCTGAGTGGCCTCTTTCAGTATTCCCCAAGTTTTCATCCCCTCTTACACCCTACCCAGGATCTGCTGCTTGATCCTTTAGTCAAAATCTCATGATTAGGACTAGCTCTAAGGCACATTGGTATTGTGTTACTCAAGAAAAGCTGGATCCCACATGACAACAGTAGTTTGAATTCCTGGCCTTATCTGTCTGAAACACTCTAGGCACCCACATGAGTGCCCAAGATCTGATAGGCTAGAGTACTGTAGAAGTAAGATGTGGTGTGACTAGACCCTGTGGAGGGTGCTCATCTCTTGTCTCTTTCTTCCAAAAATTCTCATGATGAAATGAATACGCATTATGTACAGAAAAAGAAGTTCAAATTTTGAGTTCAGTGGGTTGAGATGAGTTGGAGGTACCCTGAGAAAAGGCTATTGATTTTTCCCTGGGCTTGTATTCTTGGAGTCATATTGACAGCCTAGATATTACTGAAATAGTTGTGGAAGAAGCTGGAGAAGCTTTAGTTGAGAAGAAGACAGACAACAGGAATTTTTTTTTTTTCCCAGGAAACCCTGTTATTGGTACCCTTGACATAGTTTAGCTAAAGTTTACTTATTCACAAATATATTTCCTTCTGGGTTTTAGAAGTCCCAGACTGGTACAGAAATTTGGTTTGTAAACTGAATTTTTTTTTTTTTTAAATTTGCTGTTTCCTTATAAGCCTTACTTACAGAGTTTACCTTAGCTGTCTGCAAGTGCCTTAAATGCCTTGAGTAATCCAGACTTCATCAGAATTCTTTCCCACACACAGGCCTGGGTGAATGTCAGGTGGTAACTTCACTGACTTTCGGAAAAATCAGCCCTGTTAGTGAGTGACCTTTGGTGGCATGGTGATATGTATGCACTTGTTTAACATTCTGTTAAAGTACATGAGGAATAAATGGAATTTAGAAAGCTAAAATGAAAGGGAATCCGATAAATCTTGAAAAACCCAAACCAGGAGAGTATGTCAAGTAGAATGGACCTTTACGTCTTGTGGCAGGAAATGTGATATTTTACATGTTGTCTAGTGAAACCTCTATTTGTGCCTGGTTTTGCTCATAAATCTATCATTCCTGCCTTTCACAGGGCCCAGCTTATAATGGGTGCTCAGCAAAGTTTTGTTTAATTAGTTGCTTAAAGTTCTCTACTTTTGTTCATGTCCTAAGTCCCCAAGGGGTATGGGGTTGATACAAGTATAGAAAATAGAGACATCTAGAGAATTACCCCTTGATAGGAACTCTAATGCTAGAAGAAGATATGAAACTTTACATCTCTAACTTTTATTTCTGAGATCAGGTAGAAGAATCTCCAGGAAGGTTCAGAGTTTCTGTTATTTAAATGTATGTGTGTGAGGCTCTGGATCTAGTCTGCCTGTTGAAAGTGCCTATGTATTTCTTTTCATAGGCTGGTTGGTGATGCTGCTGTCTCTACTACTACTGCTAGTAGTAGTAGTAATATAAAACTTTTATTTATTTTATTCTTGGTTAATTGTATGCCTGGCTTATTTCTGTACTAAATGCTTTATGCACGTAACTTCAGAGATAAACCTAGAACTAGAGAAGTTAAGTAATTTGCAATTTGCTCTACTCTCCACAGTAAGAAGTAGAGCTGGGATTCAAATCCAAAAGTCTAATTCTTTTAGACCAGTTCCTTAATCTGTAATACTGTCCACTCCCAACTCATACCTTTTACTCGTAGTTTTGCTGTATGACTTATGAGATCTTAATTTCCCTCTCCTGGTCTCATTTTTTCCTCATCTGTATTGCTCTTTGAGATCTCTACCAATTCTTGCATTCTATAGTTAGTCTCTGCAAGAATGAACTTTATTTCCTGGCCAAGAAAAGTTGTGAATTCCTTTGCCCATCAGTTTCTAACCTGAATATCTAGCATTCTCAGTCAAATTTCTCTAAAGGTAACCAGTCCTTTCATTAACCTTTATGTACGTTTATATGCCATGAAAGGAAAACTGCTTTATCTTTTAAAAATTTAGTGTGTAAACTGAATATTGTTTTCATCGCCAGAGGGTGTGGGTGCTCACCAGAGAGAGAGAAGTCACCCACAGTGGGGCATGGTCATGTCACAATCCCTTTTCCTCCATTTCTTCATCCTGTCAGGATTTGGGGCACACACATTGCCTGGGGTGCAGGATTTGAACTGCAGTCTGCCATGTGGGATCCAGCTTCCAGTGTACAGTACTCAACCACTGTGCTATTGAGCTGGCCCACTGAATGATTTGTTAATACTAGTACTGGTTATTATCGTACCACTCCTGATACTAAAATTATGGTAAATAGCATCCTTTCGTTACATACCTACCAGCATTAGGCTAAGTATTTTATATGAATTATTCCTAGTAACTTCTTTATAAACAAAGGAAACAGAGGTTTAGAGAGGTTAAATAATTTCCCAACTAGCCCACAACTTGGAAATAACAGTGCTAAGATTTGATCCCAGTTAATTCCGTCTGACTTTGAAGTTCATGTTCTTTGTTTTGTTTTGTTTGTTGATATTTTCTACTACTTGTTTAGTTATTTCATGGGTTGCCAGAAGAGGCTAAATTTCTCCTGAGTCTTAGGGCAGCCAGCGGAGACATAGCTCTTAAAGGGAAGATTTTTAACTAGAGCTGAAGAGATGGACTAGCATCAGTATGGGATATGCAGTATTAATCAGTAGATCAAATAGAGTAAGGTAAGGGGATAAACTGAAGCGAGATTAGGTGGAGGTCAAGAATTAAGGATAGAAAATATGTAACAGGACATAGACCCTCAAGGGGCCATGAAGACAGTCAAGATTACAGATGGCACATTGGGAGTTCATTATGGTTTTTCACAGATTTTGTGACTGGCAGAAAATGAGAATCATAGTTAAAGATGTGAAATGGTAAGACAATGCATTTCATCTGAGTGAAACTCAGGACAAGTGAGGTCATCCTCCATGTTAACAGTAATGACCATAATGTACCTTTCTAGGAGGAGAGAGACTGTATCTGCCTGTCTCTTAGCTCCATTTCAGGCTAGGAACCTTTGGAAAGCACCATTCCCAGGTCATAGAAATGGGGAAAGTGGCCTTGCTTTTTCCAGGTTTGAGGCTCTCTCCATGCCTGATATTATAGTGACTTTCCCTGGCAAATCATGGCAGCTTCGGGGCAAGAATTCTTGACATCCTCAGAGAGCAGGGTGAGGCTGCAGACAGCAAAAATCATCTGGAATACAGATAGAAGCTTAGTAAATTCATTTTTAAAAGCTGATAGCTCAGGTAGGGACGCAAGAAGCTTTTTAATTAAAGAAGGTGGTATGATATACCAGAAAGCTGGGGGAAGAATTTGCTGGTATTTTTACAAGTTGGCAGACTTCTTTAATTAGCTGATCTGCAGTGCCAGTGCTGAGAAGAACAGATGTCCCTCTGCATTGTAAGGTAACTCTGGATCCAAACACCAAATGTTGTACTCAGACTGTTTTCCCTGATAATAAAAGAGAGAACTGAAGCTATTGGTTTAAAATCGAGAAGGTTTACATGAATCGTCAGTATTTCTATACTTTCTACCAGTATTTCTATGCTATTGTTCCCAGACCTTTGGTATTTAAGAATTTTAGCATTTACAGTTTCAGATATTCACATGAGACCTTATAAACTCATGATATGGGGTAAATTTGTTATTTTCTTGAGGCATAGATTTATAGATTTGAGTCATAATGGGTTACAAGGCCATTGTGTGTGGGGGGGTGGGGGTGGAGGGTAGGTCACTAGGCTGGTAACATCAATCTAAACCACTGTAAAAATAGCTATATCTCAACTATCTTGTTCCTTTCTTGTGGAGAAAGTTATATGCTATAAGGCAGCATTGCCCAGAGCATGGTCTATAGAATACTTACTAATAGGGAACCAGCAGTTAGCGTAATGGCTATGTTGCTGGACTCCCACGTAGTTGACCGAGGTTCGCGTCCCGGACCCAGTGGCTTAAAACTCACGCCGGGCGCATGTGCGTGTGTGCCCAAGATCCCGAGAGGAGAATGGAGGAGAAGGGATTGTGGCGTGACCATCCCCCCGGGGGGTGATCTCGCTGTCTGTCTCTGTCTGTTTGGCGAGCGCACACACCCTATAGCAAAAACCTCTCAATAAAAAAAATAGAGAATACTTACTAATAAATGCTATATGACAGTGAAAAAGTAACTTGTAGTAATCTTGAGTTAAAGGTATCTGTACTGCAGTGCTACATCATGTTTGAGCTGTATGACCTTGAGCCAGTTTTTCTGAGTTTTAGTTTCCTTATCCATAAAATAGGATAATAAAAAACATTACTTACTTCATAGTGTTATTATGAGGATTATATGAAAGTAAGCATATGACGATCTCTGCTATGTTGGTACATAGCACATAGGAGGCAATAGATAATAATTGAAGGCATACTGTTTCCCTTGCAGTAGGAGGAAAATAGGATTTCAGAGAGATAGGATGGACTTTAGATAGAGTGTGTTTGCTGCTGAATATTTGCCAGATTGCATTCCAAAGCTAAATATAGTGGAAATTTGGTAGACTCTGTGTATTTTCACATTGATTCCTCTTCTTCTGTATGCCTGGGGAAAAAGAGTTAATAATGTGTACAGTGCTTTTCTCAGCTAGCTGCATTGCCCTCCACCTTGTCCTTCTTGATGGCTGACCATCTGCATATCATGAGACTGCACAGGTGCTGCTGTAGGATTTGTATTTAAAAAAACTGAATTTATTCATGTGCCTCACCTTGTTAGACTTATTCATTCTAATTTTGGTATAAGCTGACAATGACATAAAGCTGCAGAGCATGAGCTCTCTCTGGGTCTACCTTATGTGTGTATGTGTATCAAGAAGGGTTCGAGTATTCATATTGTATATTGGGTGAATGAGGGGGTAGTCTAAGCCAGAAATTCAATGTCTTGAAAAGGCACTACTATTTTTTTTTTTAAATCATCTAAGATTGAGTCTAGCCATCTTAACTCTTCACACTCCCCCACCATAATCCACTTAGTTTTCAAGTCTTACTGATTATACTTTGGAATATTGCTCAAATGCATCTTTCCATTTCTACCACCTGCTCCCTAGGTTAGACTTCCCATTACCTCTATTGGGCTATTTTGCTGTAGCTTCCAAACTAGTTTCTCTGATTTGTCTCTCCACTCCATTCCAACTTTGATGATAGCAGTTCCCTGCATAAAACATTCGTTATCTCACCATGCCCATTGAAATGATGTTCACAAATCTGTCTGGCTCTCAAGACCTTTTATAACCATTCCTCAATTTACTTTTCCAACCCTATCACTCACTATATATACTCCTATAATTTTAGCCTAAGGTTAAAAAAAAAGAACTAAAATTCATATAAGGCATTTTTAGTGCAGAGCAAAATTTTCACATTTTATACACTACATATATTATCTTATTTAATCCTCCATTAATCTCTAAAGGCAATATTCCTGTTTTACATGTGAACAAAATAAAATGCAGAGTGACTAAATGTTCTTCCTCTGTTCTTTTTCCCGTACACAAAAACAAAAGGCCTAATACCTTTTCCCTCTTGTCTGTCCTCTGCCCTATCCACGCATCCTTGCAGGCCCATATCACATGTTATCACGCCCCTGAAAATTCTGTTTCCTTGCCATTTAAAATGAGCTCATCCATCAAGGTTTAATTTATATTTCACTTATGGTATTACTTTATGCCTTGATTATTATATACCTTTGTGTCTTGTCTCCTTTCCTAAAGTTTGTGTATCTGAAGGACAGGCAGGATGTGTATTCTGAAGACCTCTGAGAATATGGGTACGTGATACCTAGACTTATGTGAGTGCATAAGAAAGGTGAGTAGGTAGGAGGATAGATGAATGGGAAATGAGTACTTTCTGATCTAAAGTTGTATAGATCACTTGAGCTAATCAGCATAATTTTCTGTTTCTCTGGATGATTCCTAGGCCACCAAACATGATACAGTAAATGCCAACTTAATGCTATGATTTAAAAAAGTCTCCACACCTTGGCTTGCATATTTTTCTTTGCTTAAAATCCCTCATTGCCTCTTTTCTTTCAAGACATACTGTTGGAGTGACACTGCTTCTGGGAATCCTATCCCAGCCCCTCTGGGTGGAATCCATCACTATCCATTGTATTCATGCAGAACATCATGTGTGAAATTCCATGTTAATACTTACTCCTTGTACTGTTTTTAATTTTTTATGCTTTTCTCCTAGTGTATGAGTTGTAAACTTCACAAAATATGAAATAGTCACTAGCATGTATTACAAATAATATTGCTTGCTAGTGCTATACTAAATGTATCATATTTACCATGGTATTTAACCCTTACAATAACCATATATAGTAGGTACTATTACTATGTGTATTTTACAGATGAATTACAGGGAAACAGAGCTTCAGGAAATTTAAGTCACTTCTTTAAGGTCTTTTAACTAAGTGTCTGAGATTCCAGAACCTGAACTTTATTTTTCATCCCATGGGGGAGAAGAGGTAATTTTTACAGAGTCTCACTATTTTGAGCTCCTCCTGCCCCACCCTCCCAACTAGCTTGGTTTACAGCACCCATGCCTGTCACAGTCAGGTTGGCCTGGAAACCAAACTCAGGCTTCCCATGAAGAGGCATTACCTGTGCACCACCAAGGCTGGGCTCAGAACCTGAATTCTTAAATATTATGCAGTGCTTTGTTATGTTTCCGTGTATGTTACCAATACCAGACATATCAGACCTGAATAAAATATTTGTTACATAAGTGAATGACTAAATGAGTGATCATAGCTGTTTTCTAAATGTTTCTTGAGTGAATTAATTTAAATAAGCAGTGGAAAATGAATAATGATTTCTTTTTCTCTTTAGCAGGAACTTGACACTCTGTGGCATGAGCACTAAGTTATTCAGTCGTGGTTTATACTAGCTGAACCATTCAAAGCAAAAGCAATGGCTGCAGCAGCAGCTTCTCACCTGAACCTGGATGCCCTGCGGGAAGTGCTAGAATGCCCCATCTGCATGGAATCCTTCACAGAGGAGCAGCTGCGGCCTAAGCTTCTGCACTGTGGTCATACCATCTGTCGCCAGTGCCTGGAGAAGCTACTAGCCAGTAGCATCAACGGTGTCCGTTGTCCCTTTTGCAGCAAGATTACCCGCATAACCAGCCTGACCCAGCTGACAGACAACCTGACAGTGCTGAAGATCATTGACACAGCTGGGCTCAGTGAGGCTGTGGGACTGCTTATGTGCCGGTCCTGTGGACGGCGGCTGCCCCGACAGTTCTGCCGGAGCTGTGGGTTGGTGTTATGTGAACCCTGCCGGGAGGCAGACCACCAACCTCCTGGCCACTGCACACTGCCTGTCAAAGAAGCTGCTGAGGAGCGGCGTCGGGACTTTGGAGAGAAGTTGACCCGTCTGCGAGAGCTTATGGGGGAGCTACAGCGGCGAAAGGTAGCCTTGGAAGGTGTCTCTAAGGACCTTCAGGCAAGGTATAAAGCAGTTCTCCAGGAGTATGGGCATGAGGAGCGCAGGATCCAGGACGAGCTGGCTCGTTCTCGGAAGTTCTTCACAGGCTCTTTGGCTGAAGCTGAGAAATCCAATAGTCAAGTTGTGGAGGAGCAGAGTTACCTGCTTAACATTGCAGAAGTGCAGGCTGTATCTCGCTGTGACTACTTCCTGGCCAAGATCAAGCAGGCAGATGTCGCACTACTGGAGGAGACAGCTGATGAGGAGGAGCCAGAGCTCACTGCCAGCTTGCCCCGGGAGCTTACCCTGCAAGATGTGGAGCTCCTTAAAGTAGGTCATGTTGGCCCCCTCCAAATTGGGCAGGCTGTAAAGAAACCCCGGACAGTTAATATGGAAGATTCCTGGGCCATCGAGGCTGCAGCCTCTGCTGCTTCTACCTCTGTTACATTTAGAGAGATGGACATGAGTCCTGAGGAAGTGGTTGCCAGCCCTAGGGCCTCCCCTGCTAAACAGCGGGGTCCGGAGGCAGCCTCTAATATCCAGCAGTGCCTCTTTCTCAAGAAGATGGGGGCCAAAGGCAGCACTCCAGGCATGTTCAATCTTCCAGTCAGTCTATATGTGACCAGTCAAGGTGAGGTGCTGGTTGCTGACCGTGGCAACTACCGTATACAAGTCTTTACCCGCAAAGGCTTTCTGAAAGAAATCCGGCGCAGCCCAAGTGGCATCGATAGCTTTGTGCTAAGCTTCCTTGGTGCTGATTTACCCAATCTTACTCCTCTCTCAGTGGCCATGAATTGCCATGGGCTGATTGGTGTGACTGACAGCTATGACAACTCCCTCAAGGTATATACCTTGGATGGCCACTGTGTGGCTTGTCACAGGAGCCAGCTGAGCAAACCATGGGGCATCACAGCCCTGCCATCTGGCCAGTTCGTGGTAACTGATGTGGAAGGTGGAAAGCTTTGGTGTTTCACTGTTGACCGAGGAGCAGGGGTGGTCAAATACAGCTGCCTCTGCAGTGCTGTGCGTCCCAAATTTGTCACGTGTGATGCTGAGGGCACTGTCTATTTCACCCAGGGCTTGGGCCTCAATCTGGAAAATCGGCAAAATGAGCACCATTTGGAGGGTGGCTTCTCCATTGGCTCTGTGGGCCCTGATGGGCAGCTGGGTCGCCAGATTAGTCACTTCTTCTCAGAGAATGAGGATTTCCGTTGCATTGCTGGCATGTGTGTGGATGCTCGTGGTGATCTCATTGTGGCTGACAGCAGTCGCAAGGAAATCCTCCATTTTCCTAAGGGTGGAGGCTATAGTGTTCTTATTCGAGAGGGGCTCACCTGTCCAGTGGGCATTGCCCTTACTCCAAAGGGGCAGCTGCTGGTCTTAGACTGTTGGGATCACTGCATCAAGATCTACAGCTACCATTTGAGAAGATACTCCACCCCTTAAAAGAGAGAAATATCAATTTCTTCTTCCCCAACCAGCTTCCCTTTCCTTAGTCCTTGGTTGTTGGTGGTACTATAGAGTAGACGTGGCCCATATCCTGATTCCAGCTGGGTAGTCCTAGAATTTTAGAAGCTCTTGTCTCTTGGTGTTTTTTATTTGTTATTCCCCTCTCTCCACACTCCCATTCCTGCCTAAATTTAGAGCTTTAACAGATGCATTGCCCCAAATAGGACACATGACAGTGTTAGCTGAAGTTTGGTTAGAAATTAGGTACTTGTAAGACTTCAGTAGAGAGAACCACTGTAGCCTTTTGCTCTTGTATTTGAAAATTGCCCTGTATTGAATCCTTGTTAATTTTTTCCCTTTTGCCTTTGATATTTCTGGTCCATTGTTTCCTTTCTTTCACAGTGTGCTCCATCTGTGATAATTTTCTCTTCAGCTCTGGTTGCATTCTGTGTGCATGTTCCATTGGGCTTTCCTCCACCTTTCAGTGACATTTCAAATCTCGTATCTCTGAAACTTGATGTTTCAGATCTGATCACCTTTATCAGTGTGAAATGTCACTCATTTAGTGCCACCAGGGGATGTACACAGTCCCTTCGGAAAGCAATACCTCTCAGCTGGGGAATTTGGGCCATTTTGGATTGGTTTCTCATTGAAGATGTGACAGAGTGGATTTGACCCTAGTTGATTGGTACTGAAGACTTCAGCCTGGAAATTGCTTACCTTCTAAAGGAATATATGGATTGGAATTATGCCAAAGCACAGGAAGATGGGAATAGCAAACATGAATGTTAATATAGTCAGCAAACTTGGATAGTTTCTAGGGCTCATCCATTGTCATCCTGCCTCTTTCCACTGACCTGTGCTAAACATTGTCTGAAGAATTGTACATCACAGGCCAGGGCCAACAAAGCCGGGAGGTCGACACATTTCATTTTTCATTACTGAAATGAACTACACTCTGTTGGGTTGTTACTCTGTATTTTCCTCAAGTGAGTGTATACAAGTATAGAAAGTTATTTCCATTCCTCTATCAAGCATTAAAAAATTGATAACTGTTTCTTCATCACTGGTGTGCTCATGTGTTTTAATTGAATATGGGTTTTAGGAGGTGAGGAGAGAGGTACCTTGTATTATGCCATTTTGCTGCTTTGTCTGACAATTTTTTGCATTCTTTAAGAGCATAGGGATCTACCCAGCTCAACATTCAGCCAGAAATACCATTATAAACAAATAATCCAAACCTCACCTCCACATACATGTGTATATCAGCCCGCAAGGTTTGAAGTCACCAGCACCCTGTTCTGAGTTGTGTCTCTGCTAGCTCAAGCAAGGAAGACAGTTGAGAGGATTTGTGACAAGGTTCCTCAGGTTTCGGTGTTTACCAAGGAAGAGGTCCTATCCCTTAGGTACAAGAGTGATGGCAAGCCAAAGAGCTATTCCCTTGCCTTCATGAAAACAAAATGTTGCAAAACTGAGCTCCTCAAAATTGTTTTGGCTCTTGTTGTGATAGCTTCCAATGGACAGGTGAAGAGATCATTAAAATAAATGTTGAATAAGTCTGTTTTATGCTTTTTACCTGAAGAAAGCCCCATGTTCTGATTACGAAATTGCATCCAATTTCCAAAGATTGTGTAATTGAGAGGAAATTGATCCAATTAAAAGTGCATTGCAAATGATTCTACTGGTTATTTGAGCTACTTTATCTGTGGTGGCTCCCAGCAGCAGATCTGTCTTTACTGTCAGTGGGGGACTTGTTGAGGCAGTAACAAAAACCAAGGCCTTTAGCACATATGCAGAAGTGGAGAACTGAATATAATATGAGCTAGCTCGAGGTAAAAGGCCAGAAATATTCCAGCTACCGATGCTTTTGGAAAGAAATGCTATCACTGATCGGCGTTTGGCATTTAGGTCTATCCCCACCTCTAAACGTACTTACTTCATGGCAACTAAGTAACACAGGTATCTGCTAGCTCCAGGGGGAAATAATTGTGGTTTAAATGTTTTTGTTTTTCCTTTCCCTTTGATGAGTATTTTAGACTGTGCTTATAATACAGTCTATTTTCAGTTATCTGCCATGTTGATTAAATTGCAGAATATGACCACTAGAAACTAATTTGCAGCTGGTTTTCTTGATTTTCTTTTTTTTTTTTAATTATTTAATTTTATTCATCATCATTTTTAAAATGTTGACGAGAGAGAGAGAGGGAAAATGAAAAAGCAAGCCACCAGGTCTGGAACTCAAACTGCATTCTGCCATGTGGTAGTCCAGCACCTTACCCACCACCACTACTTGCCAGCTCCTGTTGGTTTTTAAAGTAATAGTGCCCTGTCCAGATAAAATCTTACATGCAAAGCTGTTGTGTAAAATAGATCAATAGGCAGTTGCTCTGGTTGGAGTAGGTTTATAGGGCTGGAGAATAGGCTTCGTTCTCCCCTCACCTATGCTGTTATACCATTGCAAAACTTAAGAATCTACAGGATACATTCAGAAAGCTATTGAACTACGGAGTTTTGCTCATCTTCCAGTTTTACCTTGTTAGCCATGTGGCCATGGGTAAGTCATTTAACTTTTTCTTCTAGGAAATGAAAAAATGATCCCGGTCTCCAGGAAGAGTGTAAGAGAACACGTGAAAACACCTGGCTCAGTCCTGGAATACTCAAAAAAATGATGGCTATTATTACTTTCTTGCACTGAGTTGTTCAGAAGAGTGTCTGGTGATGTGAGGTGGTCCAAACAATACCTTCTTACCTGCCTTACTTTAGAAGTTGGCAATCACAGCCTTCCTCAGGCATTGCCCTGTCCCTCCATCCCAACCACAGACTTCCA